GCACCCTCCCATAGCCCCGCATTGGATTTCAAGCATTCTGTCATTTATGTTAAGACCTGTCGAGTCAAGTGTACCCACATGTCCCTAAGTACAAGTTCATCCACTGAGGTCTAGTCAGCCTATCTCGAATCCCTTTTTTTTTTTTTAAGATCATCAGCTTTTCTTCACCCAGCAGTAATCAAGTGCCAATAGTTCTCTGGCTAAGATTGGGATCTGCTGTCCATTTCCACAGTTCTGTGCTGGGTTTTTGTCTGCTCGAGTTTGCATGGGTCTTGTGTATGCTGACACCACTGCTGTAAGTTCATATGAACCAGGTCTTAGGAGCCTGTAAGACTTACTTCCATGTACTTCCTCCCCTGGCTTTTGCAGTCTTCCACGCTCTCTCCCCTTCCCAGCCCCTCTCTCCAATCTTTCCACTCCCTGAGCCCTAGGTTCCTTGCCCTCTGTTCCTTGATGAGCATTGAGAGATGTGTTAGTGTTCTCTCCCCCTTGTTCCGCTGTGTTCATAAGTCTTAGGTGGTGACAGTCTTTGTAGGTGTCCCAGGCGGCTGTGGAGCCTGTAGTCCTCTTGCCTCCATGTCCTCAGTGCCGCGTCTTAAATCTCTTCTAAAGGTTGATTTCGAGTGATGGGATGTTAACCTATGGCCAATCATAGATTTAAAGGAATGAAAGTATCTTTATTAGGTATTTAAATTTAAAAATCTTAAAGTAAAAGGCTCAATGGTCAACATGTGGTTTAGCATGCTTGAACTACCGAGTTCTCTGGCATTGCAAAAAAAAAAAAACCCCACCAAAGCAACAACAAAAACCCGTGAGCACTGGTCTGAGGGGCCCTAATATAGTCCCGTCAGTGTTTTCTTGGAGGTTCATGTTTGTCCCATGACAAGGGGATGCGGGCTTCTGAGCAGCCTACTGATGGGATTTTATCCCTAGCACATCTGTTTGGCTTTTCTCTGATCTTAACATCTTGGAGTTTAAAAGGGCTTAATTAAAAAGCATTTAGGAACAGCTGATAGACTGAGACAATTGAATAAAGCTGTAAATCAGCAAAGAACAACCACCAAGGATGAGTGGAGGTGTCTTCTCCCTCAATCATCACAGAGAAGAATGTTTTCCCACTAGTCTTTAGATGGTCTGTGATTTGCTAAAGATTAAAGGAATCAACATTTCCTCTACAAGGAGCAGTTCCTTATCTAGGTGATAAAAATGTAAATATGTTTGTCCCCATGACCTTGCAGAGTGTATCACATTGTAAATGAGAACACCTGTCACAGCCAAGAGGTAGTTATTAAAGAATCCAGCCACAAAGGGGGAGCATTGCTGGAGAGTGGGGGTGGGGACTCAACTCCTTCACCCCAAGTGGAAATTGCCAGTTGCATCCTGTGATGGGTTCATCTGCAAACATTTTCTAGTGTGTGTTTGTTGCAGCAAAATAAATGTTTGCCTTTTGGCCAGTGGAGACCAACCAACAGATGCTTCTGCTAACATTTCCACAGGCAGACTGGCATAGAGCTCTTCCCTCTGTGAGCTTCCCTTTTAGCCAGGAACTCTCCCGTGACTAGAATGGCTGCCTGGCGGAAACATTTTGTAAAACTATCATCTGGTTCAGAGTCTAAACACCTTTAAGGTGACGTGCTGAGCCAAGCCATAGTAGTAGGCTGGAGTCCTGCAGGTGTTTCTGAAGACTTCCTTCATCCCCACGGGGTCTGGCCTGTTCGGCTGTCACCTACTCCAGGCTGTTCTGCATTAAATGCTTTCCCTGTTTCACTTAAATTTCATCGATTTGCATGTCAAATGAAGACAGTCATATGTGGAAAGTGCCCAGCACAGGGCCTGGGTATAAATTTACTCTTCATCTTAATGTTTATATTACTCATGTATCTTTCTTGAGGATCATAGTTAGAATTGAAAGTCGGCTGGCATTTGTAATTTGAACTGTGGCTGGGACCAGAGAAGTGATTGATCAGAGTGCTGATAGAACTTGGGACTAACTGTGGTGGTGGCTCTAGAGGAAGCATGATCTGAATTTGGACTGTTTTTGTGGCCACCCACCTACTGTGTTACCTTGGGATAATGGCTTATCCTTTCTAGTCTGCGTACAGGTGCAAATAACATCCTCTCTTTGAAGATTATATTCATGATTAAGTCAAATATTGCATATAAAGTGCTTGGTCCAGTGCCCAATATATAAGTGCTCAGTAAATCATGAAAGTCCACCTGCTTGTTGCTTTCCTTTCACAAGTACCATAATCTTTTAATGTTAGCATTATTTCCTGTCGCATGCAGGCACAGAAGGTGGTGACCAGGAGACAGTGTATTTGAGACTTTCCACATTTAAAAATTTTGCCCATTCCATTGTACTACCAATTTGGGTGTCTTTCTGTATCCAATCGTAAGTGAGTACGGACAAGTTCAGCATGCTTAGAGGTTTTGGATGCTGAAATAATGTGACAATTGTACTGAAGTTTTTCTTGACCATGCTTAGTAAACCAATAAGCTGCCCACAATGGGAAAGTATCAGCACTGGAGATGTGATTTAATGGCCCAATCAGGGTAAAGTTAGCATTTAGAATCAAAGTGAATGGGAGGTTTAGATAAGCTGTTCACCCGGCTTCTGGTGCCAGCCCATCCCACTGGGTTTGGCAGTGCAATACCCTCATTTGACAGGCAGGATGAGGAAACACTTGCTTGGGGACCTTTCCAAGCTTGGGGATCTGTGTTATACTAGATCCCTCTAAGGAGCTTGGTCTGGCAGGCAAGAGTGATGAAGTAGAAGAGAGAAAACACATCTTTTGCATCCATCCGTAGCCTTTACCCCAGCAGGGGATGGATTAAGCTCTGCTCATGGATGGGATCAGGAAATGCCACACACTAACTGGAATTTGTTTTGTCTGGCCCTAGGAAACGATGCTTCCCTTGCTGCTCCTAAACCGAAGTTGATCTGAGTGGAAATGCTTGCTAAGCTCTAATGCTGGCTTGTGGTTATAGAGATTTTTGTTGTGTTTTTCCATAGTAGTGCCCAATTTTACAAATCATGTGAGGATGCAAGACATGCCTAGGAGAACATGTCCTTGTATGCTTAACTCATTGTTGCTAATGAGCTACCCAATCAAGACTTAAGTGGCAGTAGCCTCGTGGAAAACTAATTGCTCATGGGTGGCAGCCTGCACACCCATTTTCAGATGTTCATTTTCTAAATTTTGGCCTTTTAAAATTCTTGGGTTGGCCATATCCATAGCATTATAAGCCTGCTGAGTCCCAGGATTGGCTGAACATTTCTTTCGTTAGAAATAAATATTTACAAAGCTTCTGCCAGAATGGAGAAAGGCACATTAATCTTTCCATTGAGCTTGCTATTCATTTAAATGTCTCCAGTTACAGAGAGACAGAGACCACACAGACGAACACCAACATGCAGATGTAAATCCCTCCACCTCGCCTTCGTAGTACCTGCTTGCTTTCTTTTCTCCTTTTTCACCTTCCTGTGGAGGTGCACTCAGTTTTGTGTGCTTTGTCTGAGGTGATTAATTTTAAGAGTGAAAATAATTTTCAAGTTATAAAAATATGAAGCCAACCCAGGTGGTTACTTCTAGTTACTCTGTAGTGTTGACCTCATTCACCTTCGCTGATGATCTTGCAGTTGTTACATTTTAGAAAGACATACTACTAGCAGTGTCCCATTACGTTTGCAGAGTGTTTCTATCACATCTGTGACCTCATTAGATGTGTGATTATTCTGAGCTTGAAGAAGAAACAAGTGATTACATTTTCTGTTGTTTACTGATGGTAATATTAATAAGTTTTACATTGTCTCACCATGATTTCCCTGTGAACTGGAGCCCTGACTGATGCACACTGTGGCCTCTGTCTTGATCTCTTTAGTTGCCCTTTAGTTCTCATTGATATCTTAACTGGAGAGTCTGTTTCCTAGTGGAAGCAAGACAGGATCAGGACATAGCAGACAGGAGTGTAATACTGACACCAGGTTCTGTCTCATTTTAATGATGGAATGAATGTATGTACATGAACACAGCAGCTGCCAGCAAGTTTTCAAGTACTTTCTACTAACCAGATTCTCCCTCTTCTTGGATTTGGCTTTGTTACACCAGTACCCATCTGCTGGTAGTAACCAGACTGATAATTGAAGGCAGCCTTCCAACATAGCATTGCCAGGGCCATCTGTTTTCGAACAGTGCAGTAGGCTTTTGGAGGATGGGTCTTAATTGTTTCTTTAAGATTCAAAATATGTCTTCCTACTCAGGTATTTTTGAAATGCAACTTTTAAAAAATAGACCTGAATTTCTTTCACCTACAGGATATGAGGTACTTTGGTTCTGTCATTTTGTAATGACATGCCAATACTAGAGGGTGGGGCATAATGTAAGTTGATAATGTATTTTAGGAGCTATGAGAACCATTAAAAATTTCAGAGGGCTTGCAAGGTGGCTCAGTGGGCCAAGGCACTTACTGCCAAGCTTGATTACCTCATTTTGATTCCTGTGACCCACATGGTAGAGGGAGAGAACCAGCTCCCACAAGTTGTCCTCTGACTTCCCCACACATGCCATAGCATGTTTCCTTTACCCCATGAACATGCAAAATTAATAAATGTAACAATCCCCCAAAGTTTCAAGTATGACTAGAGTATCTGTAGTGTCCATTGTGTCAGTCTTTTATGGTTAAGGGGCAGTAGTGCTTCCATTTGGCATATAAATTGCCTGGTTTTACTATTAAAGGTCTCCCAAGACAGTGGTGTGGAGCTGCACATGTGCACCTGCTGCTCTTCTGCGTGTGTGTGTGTGTGTGGTGGTGCTTGTTCAGTCAAGCACCCAAAAAACATGTTTCCACCTGTGAACTCTCAAATCTCATCCAGGATGAGTGCTGTGCTCTATCATTTGATTTACATGGAGGACTTAGTGTCTTTTTAGTGGTTAGCTGTATTAGGTGTGTATTGAATGGTTAGGAACATGTCTTCTCACATGGAGTGTGCTGCTGCTGAAGGCAGAGCCTCTTTGTTATAATGCACATTTCAGTGTCTTTAACATTATAGATTTTGTATTTATTGACGGCAATTTCATCCGTAAAGACACCCTAATGATACTGAATTTTAAGGTGGTTTTGCAGTGAAAAGCAAAAATTCATCATTGGAACATTATGATTTACCATCACATCAACTCTTTGCAAAGATACTTTTTTTTTTTTTTTTTAAACTAGGTTTGATAGGAACTTGGCATTTTTGGCTTTGACAATCTTGTAAATAAGCTTTTTCTTCTGAGCTGACTTTTTAATGGAGAGAATCACAACCAGAAAATTTGGAGAAATATTTTTCTAGAAGGAAAAAGATCATTCTCAGATTTGGAGTCTGCTTTTGTTTGATTTCTCTTCATGATGTAATCTGTTTCAAGTAAGAATGCCTACTTCCATTAGGTACTGGAAAGGAAAATGTGATTTCCTGCCTAAGTGAGATACAGATAGTTCTGCTAAGGATCCTTATTAAAAGGCAGAATCTGTGATTATCTTTAGCATTTTAAAAAATATCATAAACTAAATGTGTGTTTAGGAAATGAAGAAGGAAAACAGCCTCCTTAGGAGTCAGTTGGAGCAAAGGTTCCGAGAAGTCTGCCACCTGGAGGAAGAACTTGGGAAAGTCAAAGTGTGTTTGAATCAGAGCCAGAACTTCGCAGAAGAAATGAAAGGTGAGTGCAGTAAGTCTTAGAGCTCCTAGGTCTGTTTATCTATTTATTTTAAAATATTTTATTAATTTTATTTTGTGTATATGAGTGTATTTCCTGCATGTATGTAAGTGCACCGGTGTTGCGTAGTGCCCGTGGAGGTCAGAAGAGGGTGTCTGATGCCCTGGAACTGGAGTAATGGATGGTTGTTAGCCATTGTGTGGGTGCTAGGAATTGAACCCGGGTCCTCTGTAAGAGCAGTCAGTGCTCCTAACCACTGAGACATCTCTTTAACTCCTATTTATGTATTTATTGTGTGTTTGTATCTGTGTATGTGTGTAGAGGTCAGAGGATAGCTTGTGGGAGTCCATTCTCTCCTTTCACCGTGTGGGTTCTGGGAATTGAACCCTGGTCATCAGGCTTGGCAGCAAGCACCTTTACTTCCTGAGACATCACCTTTGTTCAGAGCTTTCTTAAGTATTATCCCCAGAAGGGAAGATGGCTGGCATTAGCCATTGGATAAACTTAGGACTTAAAAAAAAAATTTTTTTTTCTTGTTTTTATTTTATGTGTACGTGTGTATTGCCTGCATGTAAGTAAGTGCACCTGTGTCATGCAGTGCCCACAGAGGACAGAAGAGGCCGTCAGATCCCTTGGAATTGGAGTTAGGGACAGTTGTTAGCTGCCATGTGGGTGCTGGGATTTTGAGCCCAGGTCTTCTGTAAGAACAGTCAGTGTTCTTAACTGCTGAGCCATCTCTCTAGCCCCCAGGACTTTTTCTATGTATTCACCCAAAAAGATGTCTGCTGTTGATGGAAAAGTTTGCCTCTTCCACTGTTTAGTTTTCAGAGTGATGGTTGAACTTTTAAAAATTGGCACATATTGAAGCCCAAAATGCAGTTTTCACCACTTTGAAACCAGAAGGGTAAATATATTCCACACAATATTAAATTGACAGTGCAGTCTCTGGCCCTAGAGTGCTGTCTGTTGTGTCTCAAATGTGTTTATTCATTGCATGGAGCTTCTCACTCATTACCATTTTCCATAGAGTGGAAAAATCCTGTATTAAATACATGTTTTCCAACCCCTTAGTGACCATTGTAGTTTGATGACTTACTTGACTGATTGATTTTTATTTCCTGGGGTCAATGCCAGGATTTATGCTATGCATACCAAATGAACCCATCATTTGTTTCACATTTATTTATAGCTTATCTTTTACATAACTTCTTTTTTGTTTTAAATATTTTATTTTTATTTTATGTGTATGTGTATATTGCCTATGTGTAGGTAAGTGCACCCTTGTCGTGCAATGCCCACGGAAGACAGAAGAAGATGTCGGATCCCCTGGAACTGGAGTTACAGTTGTTAGTTGCCATTTGGGTGCTGGGATTCGAACCCTGGACTTCTGCAAGAACAGCCAGCGTTCTTAACCACTGAGCCATCTCTCCAGCCCCTACATAACTTTTTTTCTTTTTAAACCTGGGGTGTTTGCACATAGTATTTCTTTGAACTCTGACCTGTGAATGAGTGACACTATGACGACTGTTTATTTCCATTCATTTTTATTGGTTCCTTTGAGACTGGGTCTGGTTAAAATGCCCAGGCTGGTCTTAGAACTCTTGGACTCAAGTGATCCTTCAGCCTTAGCTTAAGTAACTGGGCTTAAATCCCTGAGATTTCTTTCATTTTTCATGGCAGCTAGTAGAAATACCAGTTGAGCTTTTCTGAGGGAAAACTATAAGAATGTGTAATGACTTGGTTAGTTTTCGGGGTTGATCAAAAGTGTCATTTTGAGGTCTCAAGTAGAATGGTACCCTTGTGGTGCTGATCTACAAGCCATCAACTCTCATTGAGTAAGTTTGGGGTTGGTGGTTTAGAAATATGTGTGGCTTTCCATTTAGGATTACATTGAATTACATACTATCTTTTGTTATTTACCATTATTTATCACTGTCAGCTTTATCCTTCACAACATACACAAGGAGTCCAAAAGCTTTTCATTACTTCTGAGTGAAAGTTCTGCCAAATAGTGAGGCTGTCAATGGGGCAGCAAGCAAGGTTACCGGTAGAGCTTCCAGATGAATCTCAAATTCCCTCACTCCCCTTACTATGGAGAGTTTGGAATGTGGATGACATTCTTGCCTTGAAATACTCTACATATGCAAAGAAAAAGTGGTTTAAATTGCTCAGGGAAATGACTTCTTTGCTGATTTATACAGTTTTATTAAGCTAATTGAGAGAAGATTATCAGATGTATTACTATTTTTCAAAATGTTGCCAGGCATGGTAGCACTCAGGAAGCAGAGGCAGGTGGATTTCTGTGAGATGGAGGCCAGTCTGGTCTACATAGCGAGTTCCAGGCCGTTTGTCCATTTTTCTCTCTCTTCATATAAATTTAGGTCATTATTAGGGGACCTACTTTTCCAAGAAGGACCCATGTGCTGGGTGTGGTGGTGTACGCTTTTAATCCCAGCACTTGGGAAGCAGAGGCAGGCTGATCTCTGAGTTTGAGGCCAGCCTGGTCTATATAGTGAGTTCAGGCCAACCAAGGGCTACTTAGTGAGACTGTGTCTTAAAGCAAAAAAGGACCTAAGTACTTTATGTATATGGGTGTTAAGTTCAGAGTTACGAAAATGTTTTTGTTGCTTGTTACCGTGCTGAAGAACAGCCATGCTAGACAACTGCTCTACCACTGAATTATACCCTAACTGTAGAGTTTAGAATTCTTAGGAGTGGGTATTTACTAAAACCATTGATAACTTTTTGTTTGTTTTAATAGCTAAGAACACCTCTCAGGAAATCGTGTTAAGAGATCTTCAAGAAAAAATAAATCAGCAAGAAAACTCACTGACTTTAGAGAAACTAAAATTTGCCTTAGCTGATCTGGAAAAGCAGCGAGATTGTTCTCAAGACCTCTTGAAGAAAAGGGAACATCACATTGAACAATTGAGTGACAAGTTAAACAAGTTAGAGAAAGAATTTGAAGCTTTACTGAGTGCTTTGGAGTTAAAAAAGAAAGAGTGCGAAGAATTGAAAGAAGACAAAACTCAGTTTTCCTACTGGAAAAGTGAAAATGAGAAACTTAAAAGTCAGATAGAATCAGAGAAGGAAGGCTTGCAGAGTAAAGTTAACCACTTAGAAACTTGCCTCAGGACACAACAAATGAAAAGTCATGAGTACAATGAGAGAGTGATAACACTGGAGATGGAAAGAGAAAACCTAAATGTGGAGATTAGAAATCTTCACAATGTGATAGACAGTAAGGCGGCGGAGGCCGAGGTACAGAGACAAGCTTACCTGGAACTGCAGCAGAAAGCTGAGTTCTCAGATCAGAAACATCAGAAGGAAATAGAAAACATGTGTTTGAAAACTAATCAGCTCACTGGGCAGGTCGAAGATTTAGAACACAAACTTCAGTTACTGTCAACTGAAATACTAACCAAAGAGCAACAGTACCGAGACTTGCATGCTGAACATGCAAGCCTCAGAAGTTTGCTCCATGTCACAGATTCTCTAGTAACATCTGAGGAACAGCAAAGTTCTTTGGCTTTTGAACAGCAGCCTATAGTAAGTCATTCTTTTGCAAATCTAATGGAAGAACAAGGAAGCATGTCTCCAGAAAGGACTGACTGTCTTGAAGATACAAACCAAAGTCCAAAAAATTCAGCCCTCTTACAAAGTAGAGTAATTTCACTTGAAATTTCCTTGAAATCTGAAAAGCAGATGAACTCAAATCTGCAAAAGCAGTGCGAGGAGTTGGTACGAATCAAAGGAGAAATAGAAGAAAATCTCAGTAAAGCAGAAGAGATGCATCAAAGTTTTGTGGCTGAAACAAGTCAGTGCATTGGTAAACTGCAGGAAGAGTGTTCTGCTCATCAGAATACCGTTGCTGAAAGTTTAGTAACTCTTGAGAACAAGGAAAAAGAGCTGCAACTTTTGAAAGAAAAATTAGAAGCTGAGCAAACGGAGATTCAAGAACTAAAAAAGAGTAACTCTCTGCTTGAAGACACTCTAAAGGAGCTACGACTTTTATCTGAAACCTTGAAGTCAGAGAAAAAGGAAATGAGTTCCATCATTTCTCTAAGCAAAAAAGAAATTGAAGAGCTAAACCAAGCCAATGGGACTCTCAAAGAAATTAATGAAAACTTAAATCAGGAGAAAGTGAATTTACTTGAAAAAAATGAGAAAATTTCAAACTGTATAGAGAAACAAGAGAAAAGCATTTCAGAGTTATCTGATCAATATAAGCAAGAAAGACTTTTATCACAAAGATATGAAGAAGCTGAAATGGCATTGGAAGAGCTTAGTGAAAAATACAAAACAGCACAAGAAAACAATGCTAAATTAGAATGCTTGCTCAGTGAGTGCACTGGTGTTTGTGAAAGTAGGAAAAACGAACTGGAACAGCTGAAGGAAACATTTGCAAAGGAACAACAAGAATTTGTAACAAAATTGGCTTTTGCTGAAGAACAAAATAGGAAATTGATACTGGAATTTGAGATAGTGCAGCAGACTCTGAGATCAGACATTATAGGCTCAACAAAGGATCCTAAGGGTGATGACTTAAAACAAGAAAGTATGACTTCAAAGGAAGAGCAAAGTCATGTGCAAAAGGAAGTCAATGGCTTATCACAAGAGAATGAGCAGCTGATGGAATTAACACAGACTAAACATGAGTATCATCCAGAATTGGAACCAGTTAGGGATTCTGTGAACGAAACAGAAGACGGGATAAACAAGTGTATTTCCCAGAATCAGATGGATCTTGACTTTAAAGATACTTCTCCAGAAAACTACAAGCCACAGTTGGTCCAACTAGAAGCTTTGATAAATGTTTTGGAAGTAAAGCTTGAAGAAAGTGAAAAAGAGAAAGCAAGCTTGCAGCAGGAATTACAGACAGTAAGAGGAGAATTAAGGACTGGAGGTTTACAAGGCAGTCAGTCACACGGAAGTGTTGGCCTTAAAGACTGTGAAGTAGATGCAGAGGAAAAGTTTATCTCAGTGCTTCATGAGCTGTCAGGTCAAAATGAGAATGTGCATTTGCAGTGCTCTGTACAGTCAGCAGTGAACAAGCTGAATGAGCTAGAGAGAATGTGTGAAGTGCTGAAGGTTGAAAAGCTAGGACTAGAATCTGGACTGAGTGACTCACGATCACAGTGCCTCATGGCAACTGGCAAGATGGCAGAAGAGGTAGAGAAAGCAGTGAATGAAGTAGAAAGACTGAATGAGGACAGTGGTCTTCCCCAGAGTGAGTTCATGAAAGAAATGCCGGGTGGTGAGTTTAGTGGTCAGCAAAATGAGCCACGAGACGACACAGGTATGTTCTTGAATCCTTTGGACAGCAGCAGTTTCTGTGAACAGATGACCTTGTCAGACAAGGAAGTTCGAGTGCACTTTGCTGAATTACAGGAGAAATTCTCATGCTTGCAAAGTGAACACAAAATTTTACATGATCAGCACTGTCAAGTGAGCTCGAAGATGTCAGAGCTATGTTCCTATGTGGACACATTAAAAGCTGAAAATTCTGTTTTGTCAATGAATCTGAGACACTTGCAGGGTGACTTGATAAAGGAGACGAAGCCTGGAGCTGAGGGTGGGTGTACTCTGTCCCTGTCATGCTCACGAATGACAGGTAGCCCTAGTCTGACAAGCTTTGGAGATTCCTCTCTTTATGAAGATGTTTTAGAACAAGCAGGAAGCACATCTCTTCTAAGTAATTTAGAAGGGAATGTTTCAGCAAATCCCTGTAATGTAGATGAAGTATCTTATAGCAGCCTGGAGGAAGAGAATCTGACTGAGAAGGAAATCCCATCTGCTGCTTTGAGGACTGTTGAAGAACTTGAGATCATCTGTCAGATGTGCTTGGAGTCACTTAAGAATCTAGAAGAGAAAATCGAGAGTCAAAGGATTATGAAAAGCAAAGAAATTCGAGAGCTGGAGCAGTTACTGCGTTCTGAGAGGAAAGTGCTTGGCTGCCTCAGGAAGCAGTACTTGTCAGAAAATGAACAGTGGCAACAGAAGCTGACAAGTGTGACTTTGGAGATGGAGTCCAAGTTGGCAGAGGAGAGGAAGCAGACAAAACACCTGTCCCTGGAGCTTGAGGCAGCACGGCTTCAACTGCAAGGACTAGACTTAAGTTCTCGGTCTTTACTTGGCACTGATGTGGAAGAGGTAAGTGCCTGGGATGTTTTTTTTCTGTTTGAATGCCTAGTAAACACTCAGTAAATGTTTGTTGAATTGAAATAAGCATAAAATCAAGATTAGAATATTTTTTGAATGTGGAAGGAAATAAATGAAAAACTTCACAAAAATTTTCCAAGGCAATCAGAACTCATTTGGGGGGAAATAAAGAGTAAACCTTATTTGAGGAATAAATGTCTGTCATGATTTGATTTATACACTATTATATGGGAAATTAGTGAAAATGTTTTTAAAGTCTGGAGGAAGTTGTTGTGGAATCAGGTCTTTAGAATGCGTGCTCTCACTGGGAATTGGAGCTTATGAACAGTAAATAATGTGATTAAAGAGATTTAGCCTCATGCCTTTCAGACTGTTTTTAAAGTTATAGCATGGTTATCAAGTTAGATATAAGAAGTCATTTATGTATTTTCTAACAGCAAATCTTATACAGTGTCAGTCTTTTAAAGAGAATTACTTTATTGAATATATACTTGGCTTAGTTACTTGTAAGGTTGTCTTTTCTAGTTAACCAGCTTAACTACTAATGTTGTACAGTTTGAGTCTTGCTCTCTACCTCTGTGAGCGGATGTGTATATGTGTGTGTGTGTGTATAGGCCTTGTTGAGATGTGTGGTGGTAAGGATAGTAAAATCATATACTTCCCTACTTTATAGATGAAAACGAGACATAAACAGCAGTTTATCCAAGAAAGTGTTTTCTTGGAGTAAAGTCCTTGGGCTAATAATCAGGTCATAAACCCTTATTGCTTTCTTTTTTCTGCTAAAGAATATTGTCAGTACGGAGAATTGTGCTGTTTTGTTTGCCATTTGTTAGCCTCTTATTCGATAATCACAGGAAATTTTGTATTTAGAGTCACCCAGAACATTCCTAGCTATGAAAGAAAGATTCAGTTTCAGTGTGTTAAATATATTTGATAAAATAACTGATCTAAAGTGTCGTCTTCATCGTTAATAAATATCTTACGCAGTGCTTTGCACATTAGAACCTACCAAACGTTTGTGATAACTGGACAGATAGAGATAGAGAAGGATGGAAAATGTGCTGAACAGTTTGCTGTTTGGAGTGTTGTGCATGGCAGCACCCATATTTTATTTTCTGTAAAGTAATAATTCATTCTGCTAATTCTGGTTTGATTCTTCTGAAATACAAAATTGCATTTTTGATATATTTTATGATTATAGGCTATTCAGGACCAAAGTGATACCTATGATGTCAAAGAATCAGAAGTTTGTACTTCAGAAACAATAGAGACAACACCAAAGCGGGACACTGATCAGATTTGTGATAAAAATGTTCAGCAAGACCTTGCTCTAGAAACTGGGAACACTCAGACTGACCGAGTCAGGCTTACGGGAGAGAGGTGTGAACAACAGTCCTCAGAAACCAATTGTGAGACACCAGCAGAAGACAAAACACAGAACTATTCAGAGTACATTTCTGAGTTGTTTTCTGGTCCCAGTGCTTTGGTACCCATGGATATTCTGGACGATCAGGTATCCATCCAGGATCCCCAGCTGCAGAAAGAGACACCAAATGAAAATTTGAGATTACTTCCTGAAGTAGAGGACTGGGACAAAAAAGTTGAAAGTTTGCTAAATGAAATAAAAAAGGTAGATTCAAAACTCAATTTACAGGAAATACAGCTAAAGATCAAGATTGAAACATGTATACAATTGGAAAAAATAGTTAAGCAACTCAAGAAAGAAAAATCTGACTTAAGTGAAAACTTGGAATCCTTTTCTTGTAGCGAGGAGATGTGCCAGATTTCAGAAGGCCTTGATTCTAACTTGGGAGCAAATGGATTGTTAACTGAAGTTATTGAAGATACTGCAGCCAACATTGAAGACAATTGGAAAGAGAGGTTTTTTGACATGGAAAAGGAGCTGACCAAGGTCAAGTCTGAGAAAGCTACGATTGAGCATCACACTCTCTCTGTGGAGGCTGACTTAGAGATGGTTCAAGCTGAGAAGCTGTGTTTAGAAAGAGATAATGAGAGTAAGCAGAAAGCTATTGTCTGTCTTAAAGAACAGCTGTCTGTAATCGTAAGAGAGAGAGACAGGCTTCATGGAGAGTTGGATAATGTGTCAAAAGAGAACAAGGCACTGGATCAGATATCTAAAACCTTAAAGGAGGAAATAGAGGAGCTGAAGTCTCAGCAAGGCGAGAATCTCCATCACATTCAGGTGATAGAGGCCGAAGTCAAGGACAAAGCGGAACTCCTTCAGACTCTGTCCCTTAATGTGAGTGAGCTGACCAAAGAAAAGGCTCTTCTCCAGGAGCAGCTGCAGAATTTACAGAAGGAGTCGCAGGAATTATCTTCAGCAACAAGTGAGCTGGAAAGCCAAATTGGGCAACTGAATAAAGAGAAAGAGTCGCTGGTCAGTGAATCCAAAAATCTGCAGGATAAGCTGAGTGAGTCAGAACATGAAAAGCTAGCCATGTCCACTGCCTTGGAGGTAGCGCTCACGGAGAGAGGAGAGTTTGCAGGGAGGCTGGGCTCAACCCAGGAGGAGGTGCATCAGTTGAGAAGAGGCATCGAGAAGCTGCGTGTCCGCATTGAAGCTGATGAAAAGAAGCGGTTCCATGTGGAGGAGAAGCTGAAAGAAAGCCAGCGTGAAAATGACTCACTGAAGGATAAAGTGGAAAACCTGGAAAGGGAATTGCAGATGTCAGAAGAAAACCAAGAACTGGTCATTCTTGACGCCGAGAATTCCAAAGCAGCGGTAGAAACCCTGAAGGCACAAATGGATGAAATGACCCAGAGTCTGAGCGAGTCTGAATTAGCCCTTGGCACGGTTAGGTCTGAAAGAGATGATCTAACAAAGCAGTTACAAGAAAAACAAGGTCAAGTGTCAGAATTAGATGGACTGCTCTCCTCCCTTAGAAGTCTGTTAGATGAAAAGGAACAGGCAAGAGTACAGATGGAAGAAGGTTCTAAAGCTGCAGCGCTGGCACTTCAGATGCAGTTGAAAGTGCTCAGTGAGGAGGTAGCAGCCTTGTCTGATGACCAAGAAACCCAGACTGCCCATGAGCAGAGTCTAGACCTGCCAGGGGAGGAAGTGTATCACTTGAAAAATAGCATTCAGAAGCTAAAAGTCTACTTAGAAGCTGAGGAGAAGAAGCACCTCCACACCACAGAACAACTGAAGGAGAGTCAGCATCATGCAGCTTTGCTTAAAGACAGAGTTGAAAACCTTCAAGGAGAACTGGAGCTGACAGAGAAGAACCAAGAACTCATGACTCTTGAGTCTGAGAATTCCAAAGCAGAGGTACAGACACTAAAAGCAGAAATACAAAGGATGGCTGAAAGCTTACAGGACTTGGAATTAGATGTTATTAATAGAAGGTCGGAAAAAGAAAGTCTCATGAAAGAATTACAAAAGGAGCAAGAGCGAGTATCTGAATTAAAAATGGTAAATTCTTCACTTGAAAATTTATTGAAAGAAAAAGAACAAGAAAAAGCACACATAAAAGAAGAATCTGAAGTTACAGTGGAAATGCTTCGGACGCAGTTGAAAGCACTAAACGAGAGGATGGCAGCCTTGTGCAATGACCAAGAGGCCTATAAGACCAAAGAACAGAGTCTGACTAGTCAAGTAGGGTCTCTTGAACTTGAGAAGGCTCAGTTGCTACAGGACCTTGGTGACACCAAGAATAATTACATTATTTTGCAGTCTTCTGTAAATGACCTCATTCAAGAAGTAGAAGATGGTAAACAGAAACTGGTGAAGAAAGATGAAGAGTTCAGGACACTAGAAGATCTACTTAAAGACCGGGAACAGCTTATCTCTAAACTTTCCCAGCTGGAAGGAGAGCAGCAGCTTTGGGAGAAACAGAAGCTAGAACTGGGAAGTCAGACGCTAGAATTGAAGGAGAAGATCCAGGCACTGCAGTCCAAAAATGACACTTTGCAGAATACCCTTGAAGCACTGCAGCGTTCTTACAAGAATCTAGAAAGTGACCTTGAATTGATGAAAATGGAGAAAATGTCCCTTGTTGAAAGAGTAAGTGGCAGGAGGGAGGGACGTCTAGATAGTTTCTGTCTCTGCTTTGTGGATTCAGACTTTGAAAAGATGCTGTGTTTGTGGAGTCTTGAACTGTAGCACCATTGGGTTGGTCAGCTCAGGCCGTTGTGTCTTTAACGTGTTCAGACAGGGCATTTTTTGTAACTCAGATCAGGTTTTTAATGTGATGCCTGTGCATAGGAGAAATTTAGGCTTATGCATAGTTTCAGTTCTCTTTAGATTTCACTTTTGTGCTGTAGTCACAGTGGAAACACCCCCTAACCACCTGAGAACCACTGTGGCTAGAGTATAACAGAGAGTAGTTAGGGTCAGAAGACATTTTCTGCCGTTTATACCTTTAGGGGGAAGAATGTTTAAAAGATACTGAGACAGGTGGCAACATGGCTTCCAGGAGGTAGCCTGGGGACTTGGTGCTTTGTGTTGTTTTTCATACCTTCCCTTTATGCAGAGTCCTGTTTTGTTAGCTGATGACTGATGGGGCTTGATCAGTAAAGAAAAATTAGCCCAATACTGGTGTTCTAGGAAAGGGATTCTTTCAATTTAAATTTTTACTGGAAAGATAATTAAAAGGGGACATCCAGAAAATGCAGTCCATTGCAGAGTTGTACTTTCCAGGATTTTCAGGCTTTTGTACTGCTTAAAGGGAGAGGACTGCTAATGCAGAGGTGATGAGATGGGGTACCAGGCTGCTTCCTCTCCCAGGGCAGGCCGAGCTGTAGAACTGTGATCGTGTGTGTGTTTCCAGCAGACTAGGGCGGCATGGGGGATTAGTAGCCAGCTAAGGACTGGTAAATAAAAAAATCTAAGGCCTTAAAATTTTTTTAAACAAACTAAAGCACTAACTCAAAGTATTCACTAATGTTAATTCGACTGGTAAATAAAAAAATCTAAGGCCTTAAAATTTTTTTTAAACAAACTAAAGCACTAACTCAAAGTATTCACTAATGTTAATTCAAATGAAAACCCTTATAAAGGACTTTTTTAAGACTTAATAATATTATCTGTCCTTGTTTCTTATTTCTATATTTTCTTAAACTTTTGCTGAGAAGAAAGTGTAAGCTTATTAGTAGGTTTTGTAAATACCAGTTGAACGGTTTCGTAAAGGATCAGCCAGGCTCCATGTTCTTAAGTGGAATATATTACAGTAAAGTGTGGTGGATTTGATCAGACCACCCAAAGCAGGCACTAACAAAGATTGGATTTTTCAGGTGAGCGTAATGACTGGGAAGGAGGCAGAGCTTCAAAGGGAAATGCACGAAATGATACAGAAAACAGCAGAGGTGAAAGAAGAATTCAGTAAAGAAAAAAATAAGCTAACCAAAGAATTAACAGTGCTTATGGAAGAGCTGAAGAACGTCAAAGTGAGTTTTTCCAGTGCAGATTCACTGCTAATTTGGTACCTCCTCTTTAGTTTCTGTGAGATAGTCTGTGATGTACTAAACTCTTAGTTTTTTTTTCTTGGGGGCAGGGGGAACAACCAACCCAAACTAATACAGGGCTCAGATTTGTACTAATCTCCACCATCCAGGACTGCCTTGAACCTGGGGACCATGTGATATTTTCTTAGGAACCATGATGGTATTGTGATGCTGCAAAAAAACAGACAAAAGAGACAAAGCCACATTGCCTGTCAGGGAAATGTAGGGTGCTGAGCAAAGACTGGGCTTGTTTTGTGCATCTTAGATGTTCTGTTTTTAACATAAGTAGATACGGTTATGCTTTAATATCTCAATTATTTTTCCATATGCTTATAAAAAGACATTCAAATTTCTAAGTGGAATTACATCTGTTTTGTAGGTAGACCATTTTAAATATGTAAGTCAGCTAGAGAAGGAATTTGAACGGGCTCAGGGGAAAGTAAAGTTGCTTCTCAAGTCCTGTAAACTGCTGGAAGGAGAAAAGAAAATGTTACAGAAAGAGCTCTCTCAACTTGAAGCTTCACAGAAGCAGAAAAGAGGTGGGTGCTAGCTGAGCCACATTTGTTTCCCAAAACCATTTTCTGGGAGTTTGCACACTCAGAGTGTACATGCATAGAAACTTTTTAGAGCTTTGAGTACTGATTTTCTAAGTTCTGACCTTTGTGCTTAGCCTTGAGTTCATCCCAGGATTCAGGATGAGGCCTTCATTAGAAATAGAATTTATTTCCATGCAGAAAAACCGGATGGTACCTAATGGCTAGAAGAGTTTGTTGGTGACCATTTGAACAGAGTTTTTGTCTTTAATAATCAACTGTCACTTTTGTCCGCTCATACCCACCACTTCCTACCTTGATAGTGGATGGCAAGTATGATATGGGTGGCCGCTCTGGAGAGAGCTTGATGGCAGTTAGTCCCCTTTCTGTTGAAAAGTGTGCTTGGAGTAGGCTTGAGAGTTCTAGAGTTTTCCTCGTGGGTGGGTGACTGATGTTCCCTCCTTTATGTGGCTCTCACATACTTGTGTCCATCAGTCCTTGTGCTGCTTCCAAATGGTTTACAGCCCTTTGGGACATATTTTGTCAGAGGCCACCCCTGTCTCCCCAAACCATACAATAGAAACTTCATAAGCATTACTGACTTGTTTTGTTTATTAGCTTGTAGGAAAAAAAAGGATGAGGGAGAAGAGGGGATATAAAAAGTTAATTCCCTTGATTTCATGTAACTGACTCTGTAAGGAGTTTAGTGGGTTGAGTGAAATTGAAGTTGGAAATGTTGATGGGTTCAATTCTTACCTGTTAGAGTTGTTTGATCTATAAGAACATGAGTAGATAGTGCTCCTTAACCCTTTGAAAAGTTCGAAGAACAAACTTAAGATTATCTGCTTGATGGTGTCTATTGTTAATGGAGCAGCAGCAGGTTACATATGATGTGTCACTTATTTTCCACAGGTTCTGTTGTGGATGACGTAGGTAAACTAATGGCTGAGATCAAAGAGCTGAAAGAAACTCTGGAAGGAAAAACCAAGGAAGCAGATGAATACTTGGACAAGTACTGTTCCCTACTCATAAGCCATGAAAAATTAGAGAAAGCCAAAGAGATACTAGAAACACAAGTTGCTCTACTGAGTTCACAGCAGTCTAAACGCCAACTCCGAAGGTCCCCATTGCTAAATTCATCTGTTCCAGGACTGTCTCCAGCTACCTGTGCCAGTGAGGCAAAGTTACCATCTGGCCAAAATAAATCTTTGGGCAAGAGGCAGAGGTCCAGTGGAATATGGGACAATGGTGGAGGGCTAACACCTTCCACACCAGAGACATTGTCTAAAAAAAGTAGGATAGCAGTTAACAGTGGTCCTAACTCTGCTGAGGATAAAGAAGAATCTGAGTTTGAGCCAGAGGGCCTCCCAGAAGTTGTAAAGAAAGGTATGTATAGTTTACAAAAGCAGTGATGAGGAAGGTGCAGCTCAGTGCTAGACCATGTGCTCAGAGTGCACGAGGCCCCTTGTTCATTTCCTAGTCCATTTTTAATTTTTCAATTATGTGTATGACTGTTTTGCTTGTGTGTATGAATGTGCACCATGTGTGTCCCTGGTGTCTGTGGAGGCAACAAGAGGGTGTCAGATCCTCTGGAACTAGAGTTACAGGCAGTTGTGAACTGCCACGTAGAGACCAAACTGAGGTCCTCTGCAAGAGTAGTAAGTGCTCTTAACCACTGAGCCATCTCTCCAGCCACCAATCTAGTCCATTTTTAAGTTGGTACTGTCATGAGAAATGAATGACCAGGTTTAATTACAGCACTAAAGAAAGACCTGGTAGATTTGAAAAATGTCTGTTAAAAGTCAGTTACAAATTCTTTTCTTTATTGAAAAATTCCTAAGTCAAGGACCCCTTTCAATATACATTTCCCTTCTTGAGGAAATTGCCTAACATAGTGTTAGCTTATGGGTTCATCAAGGATAACATGAGCTGGACAATAGGCTGGATGACACTGACCCCCTGGGAGTCAGAGTTAGAAATTTTCATAGCAATGGATGCGATCTGCGAGCACGCAGGCAGACTTTTTTCTCTTAATTTAGTCTTTTGTTTTTATTTTGCTTTTTTTTTTTTTTTTTTTTTAATATTTTGAGACAGTTATGTAGCTCAGGCTGGTCTTGATCTTGGAACATTCCTGGGCTAGGACTGTAGGCCACTTTTAGCTTCATGTTGTGCTATTGTTTAAAAAATATTAAAGACTCTGGATCAGATTGGATATTCTGCCCACATACCCGGAAATCAAAACTGGTTGGAGGACCTCTGTTCTGAGTAACTGTAGTCCCAGAATAGTTAGCAGTATCTGTCTGAGAGGTGATTTATATGTAAGGGATTAAAAGCACTTTTGTTAGCTGTGAATGCAGCTCTTGTGTGTGATGTGCTGTCCTCTAGTGTCTTTGTGGCTAGTCTTTTCTTCTTGCCACTAGTCAGATCAATTCCTTCCCTGGAAGCAACACCATGAGCAAATATGAAGACACTGTTAGGGAGGTCGCTCTCCTCCTTCCTGGTTCCATGAGAGACTGATTGCCTAGCAGTACCATTGGTCTATATTTTCCCCCTTCAAACAAGAGCTGACCTTTCCTCTTGTTCAGTTATTCTGTTTCTCTTTTTAATTTGAATTATATGATATTGCCTGCTCATGTCTTTAGGTCTTAGAAAATGCAAAATAAAGCATCCATCTAGAAGCAGCAGAACACTTTTTCCAGTGTAGTGTGATTTCCCCCCCCCCCATCCTTTCCCATTGGAGTTTTTTAAACTTTTCTAATAAGATATAACCTCTTAATTTGCCAGTATATTTGAGGTCCTCCAGGGAAATGAGGTTTGATACATTGTCCTCTGTGCTGTGGGAGAAACTGATTTTTGTAGTTCTCTTGCTCTTTGTTAAAACCAGCTTAGACACAAGGACCAGGACTTCATCCAGAACAGCTTGCCTAATAATGCCTTTATTGACAAGCAGCTCTTCTGCCCCTAGGGTTTGCCGATATCCCAACAGGAAAGACAAGCCCGTACATCCTTCGGAGAACAACCATGGCAACCAGGAGCAGCCCCCGCTTGGCTGCACAGAAGTTAGTCTTGTCCTCCCCAACTCTGGGCAAAGAAAATGAGGTAGAGTTCTTGAAACCAACAGCTGGTGGCAGCAGATCCCACAAGGTAAACTGACCATCATCTGCCTCCCTTCCTGGAAATCTCGTTTGCTGGTCCAGGGTTGAATCTGTGTTGTCTGACTCAGGGACCCAAGTGAGCAAGCCAGGGGTGTGTATCACTGTATCATCAGGCATAAGCTCATCCCTTACCCCAGGGGTTGCTTATAAATAACTTTCTGGGAAATGGTGGTATTCTAGAAAACCCAGTGCGTTTGTATGGAGCTTCTTCGAGCATGACTAAGGATCTAGAGGACGTTTTCCTTCTGACCCACAGGTTTTAGTCGTTTTTCACTCTCATTCATTTGCCTTTTCCCACCAGCTCCTGATGCGTAGAACTTCATTCTTTCTGCTAAAGGTACTACTTCAGTAAGCATCTAAAGAAATTCCTAGATGTCACCATTATGGCTTGAGGATAGGGCAGGAGCTTCATGACCTCTGTGACCTAATGGAATATGCCAGAAAATAATAAAGTGTGGGAATATTTGTTGGCTGATCTTTATTCCTAATAATATAATTATAGCAGCAGCTTCTGAAATGTATATAGAGTGTGTGTATTTTACGTGCTCCTCTCTTCTTTTTCCTCAGGGTCTCATGTGTCCCAGGCTGGCAGTGAACTCACTGTGTAGCCAAGGATTGCCTTGAACTCTTGATTGTGTCCCTTCTTCCTCCACCTCCTGAGTGCTGACCTTAACGGGCACACATGTGCATGCCTGGCAAGCACTCTAGTGACTGAGCCACACCCCTAGCACCTTAAACTCTTATTGTTGTTGTTGTTTGTTTGGTCATTTTGAGACAGGGTCTCCCTGTAGCCCCAGCTGGCCTAGAACTCGCTATGTAGACCTAGCTGGTCTTGCTCTCACAGAGATCCACCTGCCTCTGCCTCCCAAATGCTGGGACTAAAGATGTGTGCCACCATGCCTGACTAAACTCTTTATTATTTTCTATTTATTGATCTCTTCCAGTATGGTGGTATAAAAGAATGGAAAGGACAACGCTCATAAAGCTTTAAACCTCCCTGGGTTCATGCTTTTATTCCCTCAACTCTATCCCCTTGCTTTTGCCAGAAGTTTCATCTTTCTCAAACTGGGGACTATGGGGATATTATTGGAAGTTGCTAGAGTAGCTTCAAGAAGTTGTACAATTTGGGGAAGTTACTCTGCCCTTGTCAGAACTTAAGTGTGCCATCTGTTAACCTTGAACTAACCAGAAAAGCTTTTCACAAGTACAGTAGCTCCTGTATGCAGTGATTGTCAGGCGAGCCAGCGTGCTCCTCTTTATGATTCTGTGCCCAAACATTGTATCAGAACAGCAGTGCATTGCACATTGGTTTATTTTGCAAGTTATACCTGGTAATGTGTTTGTTCTTAATCTGTATTATTTACATTAGGAAGTGCCTAAGGTTTTCACACACTGAAGTGGAAACGTCTGTTCCTCATGTTAGAATGGGCATGTCATTTTGTGCAGTTTCTCTTTCCCCTAGATACTCTGTGTTGTCTCCCCCTCTCATTTGGATTCAGCTACTGTGCTGCCAGTAGCCCTGCAGGCCATCGTGGAGCGGGTGCTGACTCCCCCAAGACAGCAGGGGACCTGAACAAGCGAAGCCCGGAAGCCTCTCTAGAGCTAGTAGCCCCGGGATAGCTGCCAGGCTACTGGGCTGGGAGTCGAGTTTGAGTTCCTGGTATAGACTGCCATTTTCTAGATGGGTGATTGGGAGTTCTCTCACCTTCGTAAAATCTCATGGGCACTCCTATCTTGATATTTATGTGGTGCAACCGATTCGGATGAGAAAGTGGGTAAAATGCATTGGGTGGATCATTCTATTTCTTAGGTGCTTGAGGTGAAGGACCCCAGGGAACCCTAGTCTTCTGGAGACAAAGGAGCTGGTGATTGTAGACTCAATCCCTAAACATGCTGCTTTTGGTGGGCTGGCCACTAAGTCATAAGCCCACCATGAATGGCAAGGATACCCTGAGAGTAATGCCAAGGAGTAGTTTTGGGGGAGTCATACCTGTCTTTTCTGCTAGTGGGTTTCCTTTCCAGTGTGCTGTAAGGCGGTGTGGCATCACTGTCTTGCTAGATTAAATACCTACTGGTGAAATATCCTTCACCTGGTTATAGACCATTCTGAGAGCTTTCTACATGAGGGTCAAACCCACAGCTCCCATTCTGTTCAGAATATAATTTACTCAATTCAGTGTTAGAAATTGGGCCTGGAAAGAGCAGCCAAGGACTGTGACCTCAGTCAGTTAGGGTAGGCCTCGCTGTCCCAGTTCATTATTACGTGTGATCTGTCTGTCTCTTCTCTTCTCCTTTTCTCTCTGAACCTAAGGACTTGACATCTCTTCATAAATGTGTATCTTTGGCATCACCATTTCTCTTAAGGAAAAATGGTAGTACCAGTAAAACTCTTGGTTTTTTGTTTTGTTTTTGTCCCTTCAGTTTTCCACAAAGGGTAATTTTCCACAGACTCTAGTCTTCAAGGCTGCTCATTTTTCAGTGTCTCGCCCATGGTCTGAGACAGAAGCAGGTTTTGCAGGGATTTGATGTGCTGGCCAGATTTAGTATGTTTTCTGTAATGAAAAGTATTTAACTGCCCTTTAAAGCCACGTACTTCTTATGGAAAGAATATAAATGAAAAAATAATTTCCATTCCTTTTTCTTACTTCAGAAGGACGTCCCTAGAAGTCATCTGCTCAGCGAGTGTCTGTCATGTAGTTACTGTCCCGACTTCATTACTGAAGGCCTATCTGCACTTGTAAACAACCTTTCCTCTGTTTTATTATAATTTATTTATTGAGTCATTCTCTTTTGTTTGTTTTTGTGTGTACACTATTGAGTTGGATTGAACTAGGACTGAATGCATTTATACCGCTGAAGCTGAATCCCCAGCCCTGTTTTTCTCTCTCTTTTTAATATTTATTAATTTTATTTTATGTGCATGTAGGTAAGTGCACCCATATCGTGCAGTGCCCGCGGAGGTCAGAAGAGGCTGTCGGATCCCCTGGGACTGGAGTTAGGGACAGTTGTTAGCTGCCATGTGGGTGCTGGGATTCGATCCTGGGTCTTCTGCAAGAACAACCAGTGTTGTTAACTGCTGAGCCATCTGTCCCCAATTTTTGGGGGGTGGTGGTGGGGATAGTACCTCACTTAAGTTGACCAGGCTGGCCTGGATCTCATGCTGTAGCACAGACAGGCTTTGAACTTGCCATCCTCCTGCCTCATCCTCCTGAGTAGCTGTGATTGCAGACTTGGCCCAGCTAATTGGTTGTGGGTTTTTTAGCTCTATCTCACTGTTACGATGCACGCTGGTCTTGAATTCCTGGTGTTACTGATCCTCCAGCCTCCCGTTGCTGCCCCTTTTTTATTTTGGAACATGGCCTCTTGTTTGTCTAGAGTGTGCCAAGTAGACTGGGCTGTCTAGAGTGCAGTTCCCAGGGATCTGCTTGTCTCTGGGATTATAAGCATATACCACCACGCTCAGCCTTAAAAAAATTTTTTTTGATTCATTTATTTTAATGTGATGTGTATTAGTGTTTCATCTATGTGTATGTAAGTGTACAGTGAGTGTGTGTGTCCACAGAGCTACAAGAGAGGGCATCAGATCCCCTGGAACTGAAGTTACAGATGGTTGTGAGTGGTGGGAACTCAACCCAGGTCCTCTTCAAGAGCAGTTGGTGCTCTTTTTCTTTTTTTCTTTTAACATTAACAAACAGTTTTGTTTATTAAAATTCCTCAGGTGCATATTTACATAGGTACATGTAGGTCACAAAACTGGAAGAGAGATTATGTGAGAGAACAAGAGATTTTATACTAGGTAGGAAATAGGGTTTCTCTCACCTGATGAGAAAACACAAGGGAAGGTTTAACTGCATGAAGAAAGGGAACCTCAGCTGCTGCTCTTAGTTGCTGAGCCATCTCTAGTCCCTACCTAGCCTTTTTATCTGGGTTTTGGAAGTTGAACTGAGGTTGACAAGCATTTTACCAACTGAACCATCTCCCCAGCCCTTCTCTCTTTTCTGACTCCTGTCTTTCCCACCACCTTCTTTAAATCCCCTTTATTATCAGATAGCTAGCTTCCAAATCTAATATGTCAACAGCACCATTAAGATTAAACACTGTTGTGGGGAACAGATCCTAGGTGTTTGAAATGTTAACACACCTTCTGTCCTGTGAAGTTAGTTGTCTGCATTTGGTTTGTGCTTATTGTGAGTGAAGTGAGGATTCAGGACCAAGGAGGCAGGTTTTGTTTTCAGTTTAGGAGTTTGTTGAGTCAAGCACATTGTGGGTGTTAGGAGTGTGTGTAAAAGGTCTTAACAGTCTTGGCTTTTTTCTGTTCTGAAATACCATGTTTGCCCTCAGAGCCAAGGCTTTGGCCATCAGTGGTGTCAAGAGAAGTTTGGGACTTGTTAGAAGTTGTGTCTGACATCTTTAACTCATGTTGGGTGGTTCCTGTTCTCAGGGAGGAAAATACCAGCACTCCTACAAAAGAGAGTACACCAGGGTGATGTAGTGCTCCAGTTTTGTGCCATAAAAATGTGAATGTGAGCCAGGCTTAGTGGTACATACCTATAATCCCAGCTGGGAGGAAGGCTGGTAAGGCAGAAGAATCAAGAGTTTAAGGTCTGTCTGGCCTACAGAGTGAATTCAAGGCTACTATGGGCAACTTAATGAGACCATACCCAAATCCAAAATGAAAACAGGGCTGGGCTGTATATCACTGGTGGACTGCTTGCTTAATATGTATCCTGATACTCTTAAGTTCAGTCCCCTATGAAACAAAAACAACCAAAAATGTGAATGTGATTTTCAACCTCTAACAGAATGTTTGTTGCAGGCCAAGATTACTCAGCGGAGCCCAGTGGATTCACACACTGTCTTCCCAGAACCAACGAAGTCTCTCACAGCCTGTAACGTACCTGAGAGAAGCTCAGCAGAGAGCCCCAGGGAGGGCCTAAGACCCAAGCGAGGCTGTCTCTCCCCTAGTGCACATGCTGGGTCTGACCCCAAGAACAGTGACAACTGCCGGGTCCAGTGAGGTGTCAGGGCCAGTGGGGACTTTAGTCAGAGAGCACTTTATCTGTAGGGAGTGGATAATGTATGTTCTCAGCACAGCCTTCAGAGCTCCCATGGATGGAATTGGGAAAATTTGGAAGTAAGTGTCCACTTCCCAGTTGTTTCTGACCTCAGCCTCTAGTGTATATAGAGGTAGACAGAGCTTTTTCAAGGGTGTGCTGCAGCTAAATAAACACTGTAAAGACTTCTTTGTGAATTTTGCACTGAATACACAGTGCTGTGTTTGTGATCTTTCCTATGTTCAGTGTTAGGTGTGAAGTCATTGTAGATCCAGAGTTTGAGCTGAGTAAAGTGAAGGAAAACATGCTGTGTGTTAATTGAGGAAAACTTGTGCGTGCATGTGGGTATATTCATTCTTCAGTGTGTTTCATTGTTTAACTACCTGTACATATGTATGTGTGGGGATGGGAGCTGGTGGGGTGTGTTTCCAGTGTCGTGGATCCTTCAAGGTGCTGTGAGTCATGCTACTGTTGGGCTTTTCTTCTCAAGACCATCACAGTTTTTTGGTGTGTATTGCTGTGTCTTGTGTTGTATTAAAATATATTCTAATAAAAATGTTTTTGGTAAAACTTATTTCCTAAATATGAAAATACTATGTATATTGGCACCATTTCTTGATAACTACAACTACCTACCATAAAAGTAAAATGATTAATATCTTGGAACACATGATACCAGTACACTTACTGAACATAAGACAGAACATGTCCAACTCCGTGCCTGGCATGTTGTGCTCATTAAATCACATCAGCAAGGGTACAAGTATGAGGTGTTTCCATCTGTCTGTGATAGGGCTTGAAAATACGCAGGCATTTTGACCCATAGCAAATTATAGTACTTGACTCAGCCCTTGTGCACCTTCAGTCAGAGTTTCAGGACATGAGTTAGAAGATAATTGGTTCTTTTAGTTCAAATTCATAATCAAACCTTGGCAAACATTTAAAAATGGTTTCTTCCATAGAGGCTCCACTGTTGGAAATACATAATTTACATTAAGCCGTTTAGTATACATCTACTGAAAGTGATACCTTCAGTTGTTTGGGGTTGTGGTCTGCTACAGTCACAAGTTAACTACCTGTACATATGTATGTGTGGGGATGGGAGCTGGTGGGGTGTGTTTCCAGTGTCGTGGATCCTTCAAGGTGCTGTGAGTCATGCTACTGTTGGGCTTTTCTTCTCAAGACCATCACAGTTTTTTGGTGTGTATTGCTGTGTCTTGTGTTGTATTAAAATATATTCTAATAAAAATGTTTTTGGTAAAACATTTCCTAAATATGAAAATACTATGTATATTGGCACCATTTCTTGATAACTACAACTACCTACCATAAAAGTAAAATGATTAATATCTTGGAACACATGATACCAGTACACTTACTGAACATAAGACAGAACATGTCCAACTCCGTGCCTGGCATGTTGTGCTCATTAAATCACATCAGCAAGGGTACAAGTATGAGGTGTTTCCATCTGTCTGTGATAGGGCTTGAAAATACGCAGGCATTTTGACCCATAGCAAATTATAGTACTTGACTCAGCCCTTGTGCACCTTCAGTCAGAGTTTCAGGACATGAGTTAGAAGATAATTGGTTCTTTTAGTTCAAATTCATAATCAAACCTTGGCAAACATTTAAAAATGGTTTCTTCCATAGAGGCTCCACTGTTGGAAATACATAATTTACATTAAGCCGTTTAGTATACATCTACTGAAAGTGATACCTTCAGTTGTTTGGGGTTGTGGTCTACTACAGTCACAAGTTATCCCAAGACTGCCATGTGCCCAAGGGCATGGCCCAGTCAGGCTAGCAGCTTTAAGGTTGTTTCTCGGCACTGGAAGATTCCACTCAGTCGGTGTTGCGCACTAGTTTCTTGGGTCCTTGAGAGCATCTTCATCTTTTCTGAGGTGTGCCCTGGCTCCTGTAACATGGAACTCTAACTAGGTGCAATGGGTTGGTTCATCTTTGGGTGCAGGGCTGATAACTATAGCTAGATAAAAGTCTGGAGAATGGTTCATTACTTGCAGTGTGTAAGGGGGAATTGAAGAGAATTCTTAGAGCCATGTCTGTTCAAAAGGCAAAGGGCTTTTATTGGAAAAACACTGGTTACAGAGGTGGGCGCATTTCTGAGCATGCTCTATGGGGTTCAAAATTGGCAGACTAGAAGACTCCCCTGCCCCCAAGAGTTCTTCAAGTTATGATGAGACTGTAATGAACAAAGTAGGTCCACTAGGTCAGTGCTTCAAAAACTATTTGTGATCCCCTTTCACCTTAGAAATCTGCCCAGTGTCTAGGCATATAAAGTAGATTGTACAGATCAGATATTTACTGATCAACCATAAAGGGATTTGTTTTTAGGCTAGGGATATGGCTTAGTGTTGAGCGCTCCTGTAGTATGTTCAAGGATGTGGGTTTGATCCCCAGTGCAAGTTCCCCCAACAAAAATACTGTTTGGTGGTATGTACAGTTTTAATCTTTTTTAAAGCAAGTTTGCATACTAATGAGACTTTATCTTTTTACATAAATTCACTCTTGGCTGAAAATCTGGTACTGTAGGATGCAGACCACCTTCAGTGCTTTTCAGAGTTGATACTTTGATTTTATAGTCATTGTGTTGGGAATGCTTCACATACATAGGCAGTAGTAGGTGGCGTATATTTAAGGCCATTTCAGAAAATGTAAATTCTGCCCCAATCTGAAGCCAGAATTCATTTGTGTGTGTGTGTGTGTGTGTGTGTGTGTGTGAGAGAGAGAGAGAGAGAGAGAGAGAGAGAGAGAGAGAAACTCAAATAGCAAATAGCACTGGGGCCAGTGAGATAGCTCAGTAGTAAAGGTGCTTGCCATGGAAGCTTGGTGACCTGAGTTCCAATCCCCAGAACCTATGTGTATGTGAAAAGAGAGAACCGACTGCACAAAGTTGTTCTCTGACCTCCACGTACTCTGGGATGTGTGCCCCAACACATTAGTAATTGTAATAAAACTTCACATCAGTGCAAAAACAGTACCAATTTGATGGTAATACCAACATGCTGAGAAAAACACCTTAGGAAAATAACAGAAGCCTGCTTTTCACAAACCGTTGTTTCTATAAAAGCAGAAAACTTTTAGGTAAAATAAAAACACTACAGTTGACAACATGTAATAGTCTTTGAGTCTAAGCCTAGGTGTTATGACCCCCACAGTCACCCAAAGTCTTAAAAAGCTGTGCTTTAGGGCCTTGGAATGGGCTGGGTGACTGGTTTATAGTGAGTGGATCAGTGTCTTCTCTGTACCGTCTGAACCTGAAAGTTAACCTGCCATTTGAAGGACTAGCAGCTGTCTCTAAATATGGACGCTTGCTCCTAAAAACGCCTGTCTAGTGGCTGGTCTTTAGAATCAGAATTGCTCCAAGTTGGCAGTGTGTAATCGCAAGCTGAGCTGCATATGGGATGAAAATAGATGTCTCACTTCAGCCCAAGTGGCTTGTAAACTGGTTGAGCCACAAGCAGGACCCCAGCTGATATGAATCATGTCCAGAGATCTGGGGAGTCCAATTCTTAGCTATACAGTGAGGGCGTGGTCCAAAGATAACTTTTTCCTTGAACTAGAAGAACTGAAATTGCCTTTTGTGTTACTGGCCGTTGTCAGGAGTCCAGAGGGACAACATCTTCAATGAGGGAGTAAAATCTGACATTTAAGTGTAGCCTGATTCCTCGAGTCCCCCACTCCTGGCCCAGGCACAGTTACCTTTAAGATTTATTCATAATTTTTCTCATTTGATTTCAATTGATCTGTTTTATTGGTGCTGTCAAGTTTTCAGGTGTTTGAACCTGGAAAACTCGGGCTACTTTGTCTAATTCCACAAGGGCTATTTCCCCCCCCCCCCCCCCACTTCCCTTCTGGTTTGAGTCTGCAAAGGGCTTTTAAGTTACTTTTCCAGGTGCTCAGAACATTGGTGGTTATTTTGGATTTCCAGTTTCTTCCAGAATCATTTGGGTGATAGCCATACACCATGAAAGAAATGGGGATGAGCACCAGCTGCCACCAGTCACAGGTTTGCTGCACCAGTCAGCTTAGTTGGCTGCCTTGTGCCCTTGACAATGTACTTGTGGAGGCTGGGAATGCAGTCATTTCCTAAAGTGGATACTGGCTACGTGGACTTGGTAGTGGAGCTACTTGGACTGTGATCTCTTCCTCTTTCCTTTGAATAAACCTTCTTCCCTTTGGAGGAAGGGGCTGAGTTCTAGGTTCCCTGACTAGAAGGTGTCAGTGTTCATGCCCACTCCCAACCACAACTGCCTTTCTAGAGCCACAACTCACCACGACTCTGTGTGGGAAGTGACATCTCAAGGTACTTTTGTGTTTGCTCCAACCTTGTGTGTGTGAGGCAGACATTACAGCCTCCTTTTGTGGACAGAGATTAAGTAGCAGGTGCTCGTAGAATGGACTCATAGACTTGGGAATACCTTGTTAACAACATTGTGTTTCATATCAACCTTGTAAAATAAGGGTTATCTTCACAGGAAAAAAGATGGTATTTGTATTACTTTTCCTGTTGCCATGATAAAATACCCTCACAAAAGCTACTTACAGGAGGAAAGGTTTATTTTGGCTCACAGTTTGAAGGAATACATTCCATAATGATGGGGAAAGCAGAGAGGCAGGAAAGCCAATGCTCAAGTGGTTTTTTCATCTCAGTCTGGCACCCCAGCTAGTGGAATGGCGCTGCCCATGTGTAGGGTGGGTCTTCCCATCTCAATTAACCTAATAAGCCCAGAGAGTTGTCTCTAAGATAGTGCAAGGCCCTGACAAATTGGCAGTTAATATAAAGCGTCACATGTACTCAGAAAGTTGAGTTTGCTCAAAAAGTAACAGGTATTTAGACTTCTTTCGGATTGTCTTTCTCCAGAACTGGGCCATTCCAGAATAACCCTGATAGTACAGATATGAAGGAAGAAGGCTTTCTACTCTATGGAGCTGAGATACGTTCAGCAGGGGAGGATGGTACCTGACTGGTATCACTTACACTGAATTTTCAAAATATAACTAGACTATACATTCCCAATCATCATTTGTAACTACTAACTGCAATATTAATGAAGCAGTATTAATAAGGCAGTCAAAATAAATCCTTTAAAAGAGGCTTTTGGAAATCTGTAAAATTTAAATACAAGGGTTTTGATTATTCAAGATGAGCATAATCTGGACAAGTGAGTCAAGAGCCTGGGCTCCCTATACAATCTTGAGCAAATGATTTACCAGTTTGTGCCTTCATTAAGTCACTGATGAATTAATTGAATAGTACTTAGTTATACATATGATCTTGAATTCACAATGTTGGTTCTCTGTGTAGTGAATTGCATGAATTATTGTGGGTGTATATGTGTGATAAATATGTGCAAGTGTGTGTGCCTCTGTAAAGTGTGGAGGTGAGAGGAGGATGTTGGGTGCCCTGCTCTTTCTCCACCTTATATTCTTGAGACAGGGTCTCTCACTGAACCTAGAGCTGGGCTGGTGGCCAGCAAGCCTCAGAGATCTTGTCTCTGCCCCCCACCATGCTGGGGTTACAGGCATGCACTGCCATGCCCAGCATTTTATGAAGGTGCT